GATGGTAGGGTTAAAAATAACACAGCTTCCATGAAATTCAACACTTATGTTGCCACATCAACATGAATCTTGATCCTGGCTACATTTTCCATTTGCTGTAAATAGAGCCGCAGCGCAGTCCCAGACTTCTCAGTATGGCTTAAAGTTCTTACAAATAGTTTCTTCTCATATTCTGAACTAAAGAATGTGTCTCCTCCTTTGTAACGAAAAGTCCAAGTTTAGCTTATAGAAAAGTTATTAGAAGACTAAAATAACAGAACGCCAGCACATTCTTTCCCATTTAGAGATATGAAGCCACACAAAGGGGCTCTCTGTCAATGGAGTAACATTTTTTATTTGCTTGTCCTTTTTTTAGCTATTTTATAATAACATGTTAGACAGATGGTGAGTTATAATACAGGTATTACCTTTCAGCAGAAACCACTTAGACGCAAGTCGGTTTTTCTTATTTCGTTAAGAGGGCTGCAACCTGAAAATGCCACTTTCCTTAATTGTTAAAGCAAAGCTTCATTTTTGAAAGGTCGAAAGGAATTAAAAATCAAACACATAGCAACTTATAGGTAAATAAACCATTTTCTGATGGAACTCTCAATCTGTTTACTGCAATTACTCCTTGCGCATTTAAATTGTCTCTAAGATGGTAAGCCTGTATTTTCACAGTGTTTAGGAAAAATACCAAATTTCACCTGACAAATATGAAATGAATAATGCCCTTTGCCTCATTCCCTGACCTTATCAGCACCATGCTCTTAAACCCATTACCCTATGGGACATATCCCTGTTATATCAAGAGATCTGAAAACTATACAAGGAGCATGTTTTGTTTCTTTATATGTTGTTGTTGTTTTACACAAATAGAAATTATGTAAAACATAATTAATGAGAAGAGAAAAAAATGCAGATGAGAAGACAAGTCGAGTTAATTATAGATTTTAAACTTGTATTGGCACAGCTTTTACTCTTATTCTATCATTTTTGTTGTATATGTTATGCTATGTAACTGCATAAACTTGTTTCAAATGCTTTTAGGTTTGCTTTTATGTAGGGGGGATTTCAGTTAATGTCAGAGTTCTTAAAAGTGCCTGTTTAAATTAAGTTTTGCTAAATGTAAATAGTGTTTTCCCTTGGGAAATAATGGCAAATGCTATTGTGGTCCATGAGTCTAATTTCTGCCCTTTCCATATCAAATAGATATGAGAACTGCCACATGCTAGATGCATTCAATACATCGATATAATCAAAATTAAAATACATTTAAAAAAATAATTGTGAACTCAGCGTACAGATATATTCAGCACTGTACTGTACCATACTGTGGTAGTATATTTCATCAAGAGTCAAAAGAAAAGAATATAACCCTGACAAAAGTCTCTGCTCTGGAGTGGTGAAGAGCATCTTTTTTGGGCCCTCACCAGGTCCAGGTCCAAATGAGCCTTCTTTACAAGCAATAGGTTATCTAAATCCTGGCAGCTGGCATCTCAATAATAACCCATTGCTTTTGAAAGTCTACTTGCTATTTTCTTTATTGGATAAAAAAAGCAGTAATCATTTTTACACAATGTGAACTAGTTTAGTGGTCATATGGATCAATTTCTAGTTCACCAGATAGCAATACATTTGTTTTCCTAATAATTAAGCAAAGCACAGACCCACTTTGTGCTCTCCTATGAAAGAAGCCTGGCTTCAGAGTGCCTGATTCCCTGCCACCCATTATTATAGCAATTACTAACAGGACGTATTGGAGTTACAACACCTCTTATTAGTAATTGGTGTGATAATGAAAGCAGTGCCCAGAGCAAGACCATCAACACAGATGGGTGATACCTCTGTCCCTCACTGAACTCAAAGATTTTATTGTGAGTCCAAAATGTTCATTGAGGGACACAGGATTCAGTGACATGTGGAACGTCCAAAAGCAGTCCAAGTGAGGGGTGGGCAACACAGAAAACAAAATGCTAACACACCCACCTATAAACAAACTAAGGGCTGCCTGAAGCTTAAAACGTCACCTGCAGGATCTTACACCCAAAACTGGCATTACAAGAGACCTAAACGTCCATTTGGTAAAACTTAAAGAACATGCGAACAGACGACCAAGTGGCAGCCATGCAAATCTGGGAAACAGTTGCCTGATGCCAAAAAGCCCAAAAAGCACTTACAAATCTGGTAGAGTGTGCTTTGACAGGAAAGGGTGGAACCCGATCCTTAGGACCATAAGCTTAAATGGTTTGAGCCACCGAGAAATGGTGGAACGAGAAGCTCTCTTTTGTAGGGACCATCAGGGATGACAACGAGGGAGTAAGTATTTCCAATAGAGGCAGTGGCTGTAAGGTAGAGATGTACAGCTCAAATACATCTAGACAATGTAGGGAAATCTCACTCTGATGTACTGGGTGCAGAGCAGGGGCATAACTAGAAATCAGAGGGTCTCATAGCAAAATTTTGATTGGGGCCCTGTGATATCTTGTTACGCCCCTTGTAGAGCCCACCTGAGATCCCACACAGCCCATCTGAGATTGACCCTGCAGAGCTCACCATAGACTATGGTGGGCTCTGCAGGGTCTCAGGTGGGCTGGTCACACCCCTGCACACCTCTTACCTGTCCGCCTTGATCCGCGGTCAGCCTTCTCCACCGCCGGGCCCCTCCTCCTCCTCACTTGCTGGCGGGCCCAGCCGTCTCCTCCACTGCCGCCGGGCCTGGCCTCTTCCCCCCTCCTCCTCTGCCACCAGTTACAGCATGTAGCCATGGAGGTGCAGTGGCAGTAGTTAGAGTTTTCAACAAGAATTCCACTGAGCAAAAGCAAGTAGCTCCATCTGGTTTAGATCTCCGTCTGGCAGTCACCGGATGTGACATCACTAGTCGGAGAACTTGACAAGTCAGAGCCTTTGATAAAACACCAGGCTCAGGCCTCCTCCACCACAGCTGCTGACTGTCACTAACTCAGCAGTGGCTGTGAGCAGGAATGCGCCACTGCACAGATCAGATCACTGACAGGTTGTCAGTGATCTGGACAGCAGCAGGTTCCTCATCACAGTCACCAGTGACAGTCCTGGATGCCATAGCGACCCAGATGGCATCAGGGGGACCCCTTTATTCCTCGTCCTGCCCGGGCCCCCTTGTGCTCCGGGTCCCATAGCAGCCGCCTGGGTCGTTATGGCGATAGTTCTGCCACAGAGGGATAGGAGCACAATGTCCTGGTTAAGGTGAAAGGCCAAAACTACCTTAGGAAGGAAGGAAGACAGCTTGTCTGAAGGAGCTTTGCACACCGACCACCATTGACCACGTTCTTTGAATGCGACCACTGAACAGCAGTGTGCTGATCTATTTGTTTTGACTCATTATATTAGGAAGGAGACAGCTAAGGCTGCAGGCAGAACAGATAATGATTCTGCAGAGGAAGGTGTTGAGGTATGCTGATGTCCTCTGTGGTCAGAGTCAGCAATTAACAAAAATAATCTTGCAGAAAAAAAAACAATGGCTAGCAAAACATTTAAACTTTTCTCGGTAGAGAAAAAGCATTCATCATCCTGGGACACTAGCATAAAACTGATGAATGCTTGGAGTTTGAAAGGTTATGCCAGACTGGTAACTATTTTTTTTTGTTTGCTAGTGTCCAAATCCTCCTATAGTAGGCAGTATAATCCAAATGTCACTGAATCCTGTGTCCTTCATTGACCGAAAAAGAAAATGTATGTATGTATGTACGCACCTATATTTTATAAGTTTGACTATAGTAGCCAGCTAAAAGCTGAATGTTTACAGAAGATTCGGCACTGGATTGTGTTCAGGGCCGGCGCTAGCACATAGGCAACACAAGCGGCCACTTGAGGGCGCTGGTGGGGGAGATCGGAAAAACAGCGCCTTCTTCCCATACACAGGAGCAGCACAATCGACGGGGCTCTGATCTTCAGTTTCTTATAGTCAGATCCCTGCCCACAGCTCCCTCTGCTCTATCCCTCTCTCTGAAGCTTGCTGTTCCTGTACTGCCCTGGCCGCGATATTAACATATGAATGGGCTGCACTAATTTGCATATCAATAAGCCACAACCAATTCATATGTAAATATCACGGCTCATTCATATGCAAATCGGCTCCTCCCCGCTAAGGAAGAGAAGACTGCAAGAAGTTTAAGTATGTGTATGGTCAGGGCGGATGTACTCTCCCTGCCGCCCCAAGTCCAGATTCATTTGGGGGTTACAGGCTCTCTTTATTGACCCTGTCACCTCCAGCACAGGAGTTCTAGCACAGCACTGTGCTGGAACTCCTGTGAGAGCAGAGAGGGGAAGACTGCTCTCCCCTCTCGCTGTATACACGGAGCAGCAGGGCTACTTTTAACCCTGCCGCTCTGCTCACCACAACGGCTGCCAGTGAGAGATTCAGCGGCGGAGCGAGGAGAGAGGTCGGGGGATTCAACATTGCTGCCGCCCCTCCGCTCCCTGCCGCCTGTGTATGGTGTATATCTACGTTACATTGCTGGTCATTGTGAATACTTTTGTTACATTGGCAGTCAGTGTGAATACTTTCGTTACATTGGCGGTCAGTGTGAATACTTTCGTTACATTGGCGGTCAGTGTGAATACTTTCGTTACATTGGCTGTCAGTGTGAATATTTTCGTTACTTTTGTGGACAAGGCGAATACTTTCATTACATTGACGGTCAGTGTGGAAACTAATTGGTGTGACGTTTAACATGGATATCACAGATTCCCTTTAAGTTTTGGAGGAAAAAATGCACCTTCGCCTGTGTAGGCAAAAATCCTTGCACCGGCCCTGATTGTGTTACGATTACTGGGTGTAGACTATAATTGGAAAGAAGGGTTGCCGGGAATGCAATGGAATAAGAAGCCAAACACGTATGCTACATTTTGATAACCCATAATTGATCTGTATAATATAAATATCCTTTTTTCATCACAGTTATAAACTTAGTTCCATAAACATTGAACGATAGTGAGAATTTCCCTTTGAATACTGTATTAATAAATGAAAATCTGTATACCTGTCAGTTACAGCTTTCATAAATTCCTCCAGAAGGTCATCATAAGGCTTTCCTCTTACTCTTTTGTGTCTTAGTCCAATATACAACGGGTCTTTTAGTAACTCCTGTTAAAGAAATAGCATAATAAAGATCACAGCGGCTTTAAAACTGGCCCCTTACTAATATCGAAGCCATAATTGTTTATGTCTCTGCTAATGGAAAAGTATGGTATCTGTTTACTTTGCATGCAAAAGTTACTTATGTTATCCCATTTAGTTATCAGTACATATTTGTGGCTCATAGACTTTTCTTACTTGCAAAGTCATCAATGTTAAAATTTCATGTTTATATATTGGTAGCAATGTTCTCATGGAAAGGGCTGCCAGAAACATAACTGATGCTGTGCATATTATTGCATAATTACAGATTATGTGTAAAATCTGGCCATCTGTATTCTGAATGATGCATAGAATGGCATGCCCTGTGGCAGTGCTCCATGATAATGGGGCTAATAAAGTCTACTCCCTTCTGATGAAAACTTTTCCTGCTTCTCCTTGGCTTTTAAGAATGAAGCAAAAGCAATAAGTCTATAGCAATTATGTATTATTCTTCATTTAAGTTCTATATTTTGCATTAACTATTTGCAAATAATTTTAATAGAAAAATAATTGGTTCATGCAAACCATAGCGGACTTTAATGGCACTTCAAGGACATTGATTAATTTTTACAATCAAAAAGCACAAACTGGCCTACTGGCGAGAGCAGCAAACACCTCAACGCATTTCGCAATGTTGAGTCACTAGCTTCCTCAGGATTTTTGAACAGATTAAAATGCAGAGCAGAGCTTGTCCCAGTATGCATATGGTATTATCTCCTATACTAAGTCACTAGCGGTAATTATCTCTCCTCCGATGGACATGGGAAAGAAAGGAGGACAGGCCAGACCAACTTCATACAATGAATTTCAATATAGGCATGTATTCCTGTTCATCATATTCATAACAATCAGCTTCCCTTTTACATCTCCCCCGGGGATTCCACACTTCACCCTTCTCAAAGGGAAGGAGGGGAAAAGGGAGCAAAATGATTCAGATGTCTTTTGTGGAGATAGCCAAAATACAAAACCAGTATGGAGATAACAGCACACCAGACCACAAAACCATATTGGAGCCATATCCGAGAATCAGGAGAAATCTCTGTGCGCAAAGTACAAGGCCAAAACGCAATATTGGATGCCCGTGATCTTCGAGCCCTCAGACGGTGCTGCATTAAAAATCGGCATGGTTCTGTCATGGGCTCAGGAATACTTCCAAAAATCGCTGTCTGTGAACACAGTTTGTCATGCCATTAAAAATGCAAGTTAAAGCTCTATCATGCTAAGAAGTAGCCAACATAATCCAAAAACACCACCATCCTCTCTGGGCCAAAGTTAATTTAAAATGGTCTGTCGCAAAGTAGAAAACTGTTCTGTGGTCAGGCAAATAGAAATTTGATATCCTTTTTGGCAACCATGGGCGCCGCGTCCTCTGGACTAAAGAGGAGAGGGACCTTCCAGCTTGTTATCAGTGCTCAGTTCAAAAGCCTGCATCTCTTATGGTATAGGGGTACTTAGTGCATATGGAATGGGCAGCTTACACAACTGGAAAGGCACCATCATTGCTGAAAGATATATCCAGGTTTTAGAGCAGCATATGCTCCCGTCCAGGCGTCTTTTTCAGGGAAGGCTTTGCATATTACAGCAGGACAGTGCTAAACCGCATACTACATCTTTGACACCAGCTTGAAACAAAAAATACATTAGAGAAAACCCAAGTCTGTTGAGCAGTTAGAATCCTATATCAGGCAACATTCCTCTCCCAAAACTCCACCAGTAAACATGGCCCTGTCCCAACTTTTTTGAGACATGCTGCTGCCATCAATTTCAAAATTACCTCTTTTTTTAACCCTTTTGTTGCAAAGGCCTTTTTTTTTTTTGCACACATGATATAATCCACATTTTAGCCATGAACATTACTTCAAACCACACTCTGTAGAATAAAATGGTGGCAGTTGCAAATTTTTATGTTGCACAATATTGGTGCAACTCCTTTATCAAACACAAACATTTTGTTAAAGATGCACTTAAGTTAATTTTGCCCCCAAAATTGCCCCAAAACACATTACAATACCCATTTTTTTTGTAAAATATAAAAACATAGGTTATGATGAGTAAATAGATACCCAACATGCCCTTCAGGTCATCAGTTTCAGAGATGTGCCTAAATATTGGCCCGAGAATTATTGCTCTCACTCTGGTATGCACGACGATACCCAACATGTGTAGCGCGGTCAACGCTTTCTTACGTAGGCACACCCGACGTGTGTTTGTGTGAACGCGCTCGCAGGAGCGGGGGACTTTCTCATTTTCAACACAACACAGGTAAGGAAATTAGTGTACTTCAATCCAACAGGCATACATTAAGGGATACAGTAAACCGATACATGATTAAAAATGTACAATATATTTCAATGGTAACAGTCTGATTCCCAAAGGAAGGGTCTGAGAAGTCCCTAACGTTTAACAAAAAAATACTCTATGAGATGACCAGTCTGAGAAGGGGTTGTATCTTTTCTCTATCAGAGAGAGATATGAGGTGTAGCTGAGAATATTTACTAATAATGTCTTTTTTTAATTTTTGGATTTCCCTAAAATTTTTAAGCTATAAGCACTCTATATTTACATGATGCATTTTTAGTAGGGACGTAGTAACAAACCACTAATTATATATTAATAAGGCACATGCTGGATATGTACGAAATGCGATACAGAATTTGGACTTCTTCAGACTATATATATAATGCCCAAGGAAGAATTAAATTATATATTACGGTGTGGATTACAAGTGCTGGTGCACCAGGGAATATTATGAAGTATGCAAGGAGATTTTTGTTTCCTTGAGGAGAAATAAACATAGAATAATCAGGATGACCAAAATCAAAAGCACACCTAATAGAAGATTATAAGAATGAATTTACAATCACCCTGATAGAATAATCAATATCTACTGTATGGGAGAAATAATCATTTTAGTTGGTTTTAATGTGAAATATATTAAAGCTGAATGGTGCTGAATGGAATTAAGTGCATTTCGATATTTTTGTACAAAATAAATACATAGGTGTGCTCTGATTTTGGTATCTCCAAATTCTGGAAGGTAGTAAAATTACAGGTATAACACGTTTTCATGCCTCATTCAGAAATGTGGGTTGAAGTACTACTGATAAAAATGAGAATGGCTTTTTACCTAGTTACAGTCTGCAGTGGTCGGGTTAGAGCCAATCTTTAGGCCCTACTCTGGTCAGTTGTAAAATCATGCCCCCATTCCCCCTGATAAAGGATCTATGGCCCTTTTTATTAGGGAATGGGGAGATAACACAAATTAAATACTTACCTTAACCTGTGGTTCCTCTACAGCTGGTGGTTTGTTCCTTTTCTCTCCCATCCTGGAATGTGGGCAGGCACTCCTACTTCATCACGTACAATGCAGGATCTGGGTGGTCACTGGTTCTGCATTTTATGAATGACCTAAGTGAGGTGACATGGTGTGACAAGACCAGAGATAAGCAAGAAGAGTAGCTTTGGGAGACTGGTCACCGCAACTGGAACCAACAGAGAGAAAGGCCACTGGACCAGGGGCGCACTGGGCCGGGGGGCAGGGTGGCAATTGCCCCCCCCGGGCCTCTGTGCTGCCTTTAAAAACGGCCGCTTCCCGCGGCCGTCAGGGGGCCCGGCACTGGATCCGGCCCCTCCCACTAACCTCCCACTCTCCTCCCACAGCTCACAGCCCAGAAGCATGGACAGCCAGCGGCGGTCTACAGTGGGTGAGAGTGCCTAAGTACCGGGCATGGAGCGGAGTAAGGCCAGAACCATGTAGGGAGCCCAGTGGGAGGAGAGCACCATCCCCTAGCCAGTCACTCCTTTCATAAACTTACTAGGAGTCCTCACATCAGCCGACCATTCACTACTGTTACATGGATGGCAAAAGTGGCAGACAGGGGCGGAGAGAAAGCGGGGAAGAGGCAGAGCGGGAGGGGGGCCAAGTTGCTGCACCATGGGCCTCTGAGTTGTACTTGCCCCCTGGGCTAAAAGTTGCCAGTCAGCCCCTGCACTGGACCATGGATTAAGGTAAGTATTGCTCTGTGTTAGCTATCCCCTAGAAAAATGAGTGATAGATCCTTTATCAGCTGGGAGGAAAGCAGATGGCAACTTTAATGACATTGAAACTGCCCAGAGTAAGGCTTTTGGATAGACTTACATTTCTCTACAAATTTTATAAACATATATAACACATACACTATTCTGTAATATGTTGCCATGTCTACCTACACCTGATATGGTTTACCAAAACTGCCAAAATAATCAAATGGTACTCCCTTGTAGGTGGCAGTCCAGGGGCATTCTGCAAACTGTCTTTGTACAGAATGTCCCCATAAATATAATTTACTGCTTGGGTTTGGCTCATTCATCCATACTCATCCAGTTAAAATGTAAATATCTACCAGTCTTCTTGGTATTTAAAGCAACTCCAAAAACATGTTTGTTCTCTTTTAATTTTTGGTTGTGTCAAATGGCTTTAACTCTAAAACTTTTCAAGTGTTTCCCAGCACAATGACACATTTTAGCCAGTATTAGAAAATCTCAGTCATCATCATAGCGACAAATGGTTTGCAACATTTAGCAAACATGCAAACAGCCAGTGAAATTCCACTTAGGTTTCAGCTGTATATACTTTATTTAATGAAATATTTAAATAAAGAAGTTCAGGAGACTGTTTCTTTGATTTGGTCCCTAGTTATGGTGAGTCATGCTTTTGGCTTGATTTTCTGCTTTCACATGATATTTTATTCACTACTAGACCAAAACCATGAGAAAAAAAATAGGTCAGAATATGTGGTGAATGACCTAATATAGCCTTAAAAACTGTGTTTACAAAAAATTCTTACTTAGAGAAAATAGTTGTCTGTGATATTGTGCTACATTATTCACATGGAATGTTTGTCAATCACCTCACCACAATGTAAATTCCAAAATGTACAATGAAGAAGTTTTCAATGACAGTGGTTTAAGGGTTAGCTCGGTGACAT